ATCCTGAGGCCGAGTCCCACATACAGCAACTAGAAGGATGTGCAGCTATGACATACAACTATCTACTGGGGCTTTGGGGGGAAAAAAAAAAAAAAAATAAAATCTTTAAAAAAAAAAAAAAAAGATAAGCCAAGAATATTATTGAAAACTTTATGCTAACAAATTTGAAATTTTAGACAAAATAGAAATATCGCTGCTGACACTTGCTCAAAAAGAAACTGCAAACTTAGGTAGGACTGGAGCTGTCACAGGAGTTGCAGCAGCGATCAGAGATTATCCACATGGAGAACTGACCTAGACGGCGTGCTGTTCAGTTCCACCAAAATTCAAGGAAGGAAAACTTTAATCTACAAACACCTCCAGAAAAGAGAAAAAGAAGGAACACTACTGTCTCCTCTTATAAGGCTGGCATAACCTTGACACGAACAACAGGATAAGAAAGAAAATGTACAGGTCAACCTCATTCGTGATTCATAGACACAAAGCCCTACACAACGTATCCACTCTCAAAACTAGTCCAACAATACAGACAAAGGTTAACACATCATAGGCGAGTTAGGTTTACACTAAGAATGAAGATCTCATTTAACCATAGGAAGATCAATTAATGCAATCTACCACAGGAACAAATCTAAGAGAAAAATCATATTGTTATCTCTATAGACAGAAAGGCATTTGATAAAACTCAATATCCAATCACGAGAACAAAAATAAGCTTTTATCAGACCAAAATGGAGAGAAATTTCCTTAATCTAATAAACAGCATCTGTAAAACCTACAGAAACCGTTTGATCAACCCCCCTTCTGGTAAAATAACTGAGGTTTCCATCCTTTCCACAAGAATGCGAGAAAGCCCTTCCCTCCAGGCTGCTTTGCACACGGTGTGTGATCCTGGTGTCCTCCTCCCAGCTCTTTCCCTTGGGCAGGCTTGAGTCTGGAAATTATCCCAAGGGGGATCCTTTCAGGAAGTCTATGGAGATTAAAGGGGTAGATTTGAGGAGTAGATGAAGGGAGGAAGGAGGGCTGGGCAGAGAAGGGGAGAGTTTGCTGCCCTGTTGGCTATTTTCCTCCTTGGAATCCCAGGTCCCTGGGCCTCATGCTCTGACTCTGATGTTCTTCCTGTATTTGGGGTGAACCCTGCACCATGGCGTGCTCAAAAACAGCCTTGGGGACAGTGCACATGTAGAGCTTTATTCAATGTTGTCAAGGAAGGAGGGGGAGGACGAGACCTGATGCAAAATAGAGAAGATGTGGACTGTAAGGCGTGGGGTGGACGTGGAGTAATCAGGAGAAGGTGGTGAGAAATTGACTGACAGTGTATAAATATTTCGTAGGTGCTCAGGAGACTGTTGAAGAATCAGTGATAGAAAAGAGAAAGAGTTGCCAGCAGCTCCTTGGGATGTCCAGAGAATCAGGCTTGGAGGAATCCTTTAGTACTGACTCGTCAAAAATTAGTACATTTCTGTATTTTTCTCAACCCGTGCAGCAAAAACTCCATCCAGGGCTGGCCTCGTGGCGTAGTGGTTGGGTTTCCATGCTCTGCTTCCGTGGCCAGGGGTTTGCGGGTTTGGCTCCAGAGCTTGGACCTGCGCACCTCCTATCAGGCCATACTGTGGCAGGCATCGCACGTATAAAGTAGAGAAAGGTGGGCAAGGATATTGGCCCAGGGCCCATCCTCCTCAGCAAAAGGAGGAAGACTGGCAAAATATATTAGCTCAGGACTAATCTTCCACACCATAAACAACAACAACAACAACAAAACTCCATCTCTGACTTGTTCTGTCTCTCTATAGATTATTTCATTTCTGGCATTTGATCTCATCTTTCCTGTTTTTAGACTACTTTTAGATGACGTGAGGACGTGTTGGGCAGCCCCCTTTTGTATATCACCACCTTCCGTCACTAAGTTTCATTTCTAGGAACATGACTCTCTAGAAGTGAACATCAGCTGTCTAACCTCAGTGTTGACTTTTTACAAGAAGAATGAATTATCGTTTTTAGGGATTCCACCAAACTCCCTCCTTCCTATGCGATTTCCATCCTCAGTTTTCCTTCATTATATAAAATGACTTTACATCCCATACCCGATGCTCCACATCAATGTTCTCAGCTGACTTCTAGCTTCCAATCCTGACTGAAGCCTGACTGAAGGGAGGAGGGTATATGATATAATCAGGAAAACCTGCGACAGGCAGACAATGGAAGCATTGTAAGTGGGGTCCATAGTGATAACCCTGTGCCATGGCATCCAGATTGAAGGTAGACATTCCAACATGGCCTAATCAGTCATGATATAACCTTGACACTCCTTTCATTGCCCTAAATTAAAAAAAAAAAATCCCTTGAAAATGTGTCATAGAAAAATGCAAAATGCTTGGGGGTTGAGAGCTCCTTTTGATTAGCCAATAATCCAGAAACTTGACTGCTGTCACCACAAATCACCCTTCTAGGGTTCACTGTGTCAAAAGAGCCGTTTACTTTTCACAGACACTGTAGCCACTGTGGGAACCTCATAAAGAGAAGACCACTGTGGGCCTTAGGTCAAAGACAGAGATGCGAATTCCTGCAAATTGTGAGCCTTTGCATTGTTGGAGTTGATATAGGGAAGCGAACTCATAGAACCACTGGAGAAATAGTCCCTAAGGGAAGGGTTTTATACAATATAGATGGCAATGAAAAGTCCAAGCCTGGGCAGTTCTTTCATTCAAAAACTTATGTTAGGTACTTTCTCCGTGTGTGGCCTCTATGAAGCACTGGGAGTCAGATGGTGGCCATGACAGATTTAGTTTCTAGTCCCGAGGAGTGATGCATACATTAGCCAAGTACACACACGTGTATATGATTATGAATGGTGGCAAGTGCTCTGAGGGAACAACAATTACATGAGCACACGATAGGGTCACCTGCCCTTTTCTAGAGCAGGAAAGACCTTCCTGAGGAGGTCATATGTACCAGTGATGCAAACGTACAGTTGAAGGTGAAAAGTGTTCTCTGATATGTTCAAGTAATTATCTTGAGGTGACTGTTACCGCACCAGGTCCATTTTTGCCTGATGCCCAGAAATCCAATCAATGAGACGATGAGATTGCAGGGAGAGAGGGTTTATTCATCACAAGGCAGCCAAGTGAGAAAACAGGAGACTGAATCTCAAATCTACTTCCTGAAAATAGAGACTCAGGGATAATTATGGGATGGGGGCAAGGTGGCATGAAATGATTGGATGTGAGGAAAGATGAGGTAATTGATGATCTGTGCAAGCGTAGTCAGGTTTCCTGCCTCTTTGTAGGACGCATGTTCACAGAATGGTGGCATTAGCATGCCCGAAGGGTGGAGTTTCAACCTCTTGCCATCAAAATGTGGTTTATCCAACACATGTCTGCGTTGGCCCATTTGATAGGTTGGTGGTCTCAGTCTGGCCTGAAGTGGACAAGGGATTCAATTACTGAAAAAAAAAGCTCAAACACCCATTACCATGGTGACCCACATTCCAGAGAGACGGTATCTATAGGAACCTAGTGCGAGTCCGATAGCATATTGCATAAACAGCACAGTTAACAATGGGTAAGTTTATCCTGCAGATTTAAGTCCTGGCATTCCTTTCTGATACGTTTCTAGGTAAGGCCATCCCCCCATTCTTCCTGGTACAGGGAAGAAGACACCTTTACAAAGGAGATTTCCTTTACAAACATAAATGTCACTTATAAAGGGTAACCAGAACTAAGAATGGGCTTAGCAAGGACCCTTCTAGATACCTGGTAACGGCCTGTTCTGGGGGCAGGCCTCCCCCCCGAAACTCCTTTGGTTAGTTAGTCGGGGTGGGGACCAAAGTGTCTTTTAGGCAGAGACGTATTTTGAGGTGGCCAATTCTGATGCCCCATAGTTACTAGCTGCTTAATCATGAATGGCTATCTGTCTGCTGGTTTCAATGACCACATGCCCAGAGATTCTGGAGTGCCTGAGCATTATGAGAAATAACGAGAAATTTTGCCAAAAATTCACTTCTTCTGTTTTCCAGGAAATACATGGAATTCAAAGGAATAGACAGAAATGAATAAATTGGAGTCTTTGAAAATTTAAACCTTCTGTTTAACCAAAGGCAACAACATAGCACAAAAAACTACTTTGGATTGGGAGACGATATTTATAGTGATCTGTTGAAAGTTGGCACCTAGAATCTATAAAGAAGTCTTTAAAACCCTCAAGGAAAACAAACAATCAAATGTAAATAGGAAAGGGATATGACAGACAATTTGCAGAAGAGCAAACTCAAATGGCTAATAAATATTTGAAAAGATGAAGGGAAGTGGTGATAAAAACCACTATGATTTGGCATTTCACACCTAGTAGACTGACAGGAATGATGAAGCCTTACAATACTCAGTATTGTTGGGAGCACTAACTGGAACAACAGCTTTGTGAAGCAACTGAGCAATTTCCAAGAGAGGCGAAGGTACACACACTCTCTAATGCAGCCATTCCACTGTAAGGACACACCCTAACATCTCTAGAGAGATGCAGGTCAAAGATTCCTCATTACAACATTTTTCTATTAAAATTGCAATAATTGGAAACAACCTAAATTTCCTAAGAATAGATAAATAAATTGTGTTATTTGCATACATTGGATTGTTATGCATCCATTAAAATGAACTATACTCCCATGTATTGACGTGGATGTATCTCAAAAATATATCATTGATTTGTTTCTTCCAGGGAGGGAAACAGGATGACTAGGAGTCAGAGGTCAGTGTAGTCTTTTTACTTTTTTATGCTTTTAGAACCTAAATTTTGCACCAAGTAAATGTATTTCTCTTTAAAACAATACTATTAAATTTTTAAATGTTGAATAATAAAATGATTGCAGAAGGCTGGTATAGGATAAACCATTTTTTAAAAGTTTGAAAACAAACAAAATGAAGAATGACCTGCTCACTTCTGCTCCCCTCACTGTTTCGACAACCTTGACTTCTCACAGTTTAGCTCAGACAGAGTCCAGACTTCCCCGTGGTTTCTACACCTGAGTCACTGCACTGGCTGGGAACCACAGCTCTTGATTTCCTTGCTTTATTTGCTTCTGACAATAAAGACAACAGGGTTAGAAAAATACAGCGAGGGCAGGGAGACAGCAGAAGATACACAAGCAGGGAGAGGCTGGGGCCCCTAAGTCCTCACTCCACTTCCACCTCTGAGGGCAAACACCTGGCGTGCGGAGCAGCCCCTGCCCTTGACAGCCTTCCTGGAAAGCCCTGGTCCTCTGGCTGATCTTGACAGCTGATCTCCTTCCTTCTTCAAGACTGTTTACTTCCTTCTGTCAGAAAATTATCACAAGTTGCTAGCTGAGTTAGAAAAAGGCACTTAGCTGGAATGTGTTGTAAACGTTGTTATAACAAAGAGATGAATCAGCTGATGTCTGCAATGTGACCCGCTCAGATCTCTAAGTCCTGGTGTGTCTGAGAACTGACCCTTCCCTTGGGCCCTCCAACTGGAGGATGAGGACTAAGCTTGACTGCTCAGTTGACAGTCTCAGATCACTAGGCCCAGTCTCTTTTCCCATTATTAAATTCCTCTTCGCGGCCGCCCACTAGCTCGACTTTTCCTTCCCATGGGAGGCTGAGCCAGTCTTCAATTTTCTTAGAGAAGTCCAAGGAGAAGAAAATACTCCTTTTCTTAATCCATTGAATGTGTATTGAATGCCCTGACCTTCTCCTGATATCTCATGATCTCTAAGGCCTGGGGCTGCTATGTCATGACCTCCCAGGTCAGAACCAGGCAGAGCGTTGTCTTGTGTCCCCCTGGGCCTGCTCAGAGTTCTGTCTGCTCAGGAGCCTGCTCTTGCTTCTATCAAGGCCTATGTGCCTTCTTATTGGGTTGGTGTTTATGTTTCCTGAGCATTTCAGAACTGGAAGTGGTTTTGAACCTGATACAGAGTAAGTCTAATGTCCTAGGGGGGAGATATCCCAAATGCAACTCTTCAGGTGACCCTGAACTGTCCCTGCCCCATTTTTCTCCCTCATTTCATTTAAAAGCTTTGTCATTGTCTCTCTTGAAGTTCATGGCCTTTGTTGTAGGCAGAATTCTAAGATGACGGCCAGTGGCCATCACCCTTATGTAGTCTTCCCCCACTTTGAGCATGGTTGGAGTCTGTGAATATAATAAGATATCACTTCCATGATTATGTTAGGTTATACGGCAAAAGGGAGGTGATCTGGTTAGGCACAACCTAATCACGTGAGCCCTTCAAAAGTAGAGCGTTTTCTCCAGGTGGTTACAGAAGATGAAGTTAGAAATCTCAAGCATGAACAGGACTTGATGTGCCATTTTGGATTAAAGATTGAGGGGCTCATGTGGCAGCAACGAGGGTAGCCTCTGGAAGCTGCGAGTGGCCTGCTGATGATAGCCAGCAAGCAGATGGGGCCCTCAGTCCTACATCTGCCAGGAACTGAGTCCTGTCAACCTCCTGAATAAGCCTGGCAGCTGATTCTCCTCCACATGAGAGCCCAGCCTGGCTGACACCTTGATTTGGGCCTTCAGAGACCATGGGCAGAGAACCCAGTTGAACCTGCCCAGATGGCTGGTGTACAGAACTGTGAGATGATAAATGGGTCTTACTGTAAGGTGCTAAATTTGTGGTAATTTGTTACACAGCAAGAGAAAATAAATACAGCATTAATCAGAGATATCCACTTGACAGAAAATTGACATCTTTTGGGGGTAGAGCAAGATGGAGAAAAGGGGAGGAGATAAAAGAAGACAACCATCACCTCACTTGTAATATGATCCTGAGAAATGAAAAATGACATCCTTTCTTTTCTGTTTTGCTCCTGTGTGAACAGTCTCTGTTTTGTCTGAATCTTCTCCTTTTCTGCATTTTCTCTCACAGATCAATTGAGATTGTGTATGTGAGATTGTTCTTGGAGTGTGTGTGAAAGCGTGAAGAAGAGACATAGGTTGATAAATGGGAGGATTACCTTCTGAAGCAAACAAGCTCTCCCTCCTGCTTTAAGGTCTGGTCCTGCATTCTCTTCTTAGAGAAGCCCTGGGGGGATCAGCACCCCAGTGAGGTGGGAGCTGTGAGCTACTGAGGGCCCCGTGCAGTAGGAATGGGATAACAATGAGATGATGATGTTTATCGAGCTCCTATTCTGCGTGTTTTGAGTGCTTTATATGAGTTCGTTCAATCCTATAATATCCCATGAGGTTGTAGTATTATTATCACTGGTTTACAGTTGAGAACACTGAGGCACAGCCTGGTTAAGGAACTTTTCCAAGGTTGTTTTTAGGTGGTAGTGGAACCAGGATTCTCGCTTCAGCTGTCTGGCTGTAGAGTGCGCACACTTAAGCACTACCTGGGAGATCTTTATCCAAGTTAAAGTTTCTTTGGGGAAAACAAAATATATCCCATGTATCCTTGTGAATTAAAAGCCCCCTGACCCTTCTCTGCACCACCCCCATGGTGACTGCCTTCTAGTCCCCTAGAGCTGCCCTGATCTCAGGACAAGGATGGATCTCTTGCACCTCCTGGGGGTGGTGGTGGGGGGGAGTAGTCTTGAGTGATTTTCTTGTGTCAGGAGTGTCCTTGGGAGAGAAAATTCTCAGAAAGAAGGTTTTATAGCTCACTGGGCCCCAGGGGTGGCCGGGCCAGGAGAAGAAACATCAGGTCAAGGAGACAAGGAGAAGGTGCTGAGGTGATGGGTCTGAGGGTCATGGAAACTTGCCACTGCTTGGACCTACTTCCTGAGATTCTGAGGGAGGATGCTCCTGTTGCAGTCCAAGTGGCGACAGCCGACTCTGCCCAGGCAGGTAATCCAAAGAGATCTCTGCCCCATACCCCTAACCCAATAAGAAAATCCTCCTGCGGGTCCCAGAGCAGGCTCCTCATCATTGGCTGAGGAGACACCATGAGACTATAGATGTTTAGGACACTGTGGTGAAGAAGTAAAATGACAGCTGTCACCACCTGAGGACTTGGTGGGGTAGGGTGGGTGGATTTCTTCTTGTCATAACCTCAGGTCTAGTTGCATGAGTCTCCTCCCTGGTGACAAAACAACCACATCAAAACATCTCTTACAGCTCCAAGCTCTAGCTGTGACCCATTACGTACAGGTTGCAAGTCTGAGGTCTGCAATTTCACTCCAGAGTCCATACTCGTCTGCCTTAGGAGATGAGTTTTATCACCATCCCCCTAAGCAGCCCCAAAGATTTCCTGGCTCATGATTTCGGAGAAGGCTGTGAGACTTCGTGTCCTCATTGTTAAAAAGGAGGATATTTTTTGTGTCTGACATTGTTATTTGCCTGCCTCATATCCATCTCCCCTTCTTCCTCGCTGAGGAACCCCAATTTTGCTCAGAGTGGTAGTGTACCCAGCCACTAACATATTTACCCTCCCAGACTCCTTTGCACATAGGGGTTTACATGTGACACAGTTTTACACCATGGCAGTCACTGAGCAGGGTTCTTAGCAGAGATTTTTCAATGGACATCTTCTCTTTCTCCTTTTGTGCCTTCCTTTCATGCCTGGAGAAGGAGTCTTGCTTATCACATATGACTGTGGGAAATAAGATTGCAGACTTCTCCCTCCCTCTCTCCCTTTTACTAGTCTGCTGTCTCCACCACAATGTCTTATTTCCAGTCTGCATTTTCTGCCCGTGGAATAGCTGCTGATGCTCCGATGAAGCCCTCTATTGGACTCACCCTCACATTACGCCTTCCAGAGGAAGTCACCTAATGTGCATGAACCTGCAGAGAGCCATGGGCTAGGAGGAGACTGCACAGAGAGAGCGATGTGTCAGCAGTGAACCGACTGTACTAATGAACCATGACCAGAGAGAGGGCTCCCAAGCCACTGGGCCTTGGCCATGTTTCAGACCATAGAAGTATGACATGACGCTAGTGTGAAGTTAGTCCCAAGAATGGCTAGTAAGGTTAAATTCCCTGCCAGCTCTAGTGTATGGCGGGCGCAAGTCACAATTACATGAATTATAGAAAGAGAGAGATAATATAGTAAGAGAGGCTCTTCCCCTTCTAGTGTTTGAGGAAGACGAACACTGGGAACATGGATGCCATCTTTAGGGGACTGAGACTGGTCCTTTAATCATGGGTTGACCCCGTAATTATTGTCCAAACCGGGACACTTGAGAGTAAGAGGGGGCACTGTTCACCGGGAAACTCATTTTGGACCATGTGTGAAGAAGAAATCGACTTCTATTGTGTCAGTCACTGAAATGCTAAAGTTTATCAGTTAGAACAGTTAGGGTTATCATAATTAAGACATGGACCAACTTACTTTAGACTACTGTTTTCTGACACAAAATATTTTTTAAAATAAAATTATTTTAATAACTATAAAAGTCAATATATTGAATAAATTAAAAAATAGAAAGAAGAAAAATGTCAGCCTTAATTCTACCAGCCAACTGACCACTGATAACCAGTGTATTTCCACCTCTGACTTTTCTGTGTATGTGTTTATATAGGTGTGATCACAATATATTTAGTTTGGAATCCTATAGTTTAAGTTATTCAACGTAAACTTTTCCCTAGTTTTATTAAGAATCTCTTATTGAATATCCTTTTAGAATTTCATTCGTATTTAGTCAATAGGTATTTAAGTTATATAAATAGTATGTAAAAGAGAAATTACGAAAATGGTAATGTAGGAAGAAAGAAAAGCCTAAAAGAAAACTATGTGTATAAGCAAAACTTTGATTTTAGTATATACTTTCTTTGTTTCCTGCTTTTGACTTAAAGATGCCTGGTGAACATTCTTCCAAGTGGCAAAATGTAATTCTATCTCATAACTTTAAGGTTTCCATAGTGTTCAGTCATGTGTAACTTTTTAAAAGCTCATCCCCAAATTAGTGCTGAACATTGGCATTGTTTCTACGATTTGACTTGTGTAACAAATCTATAAGGAATAACCTTGTCCACTTTTCTCCATGTGGTTGATGACTAGGTCACAGACTCCTTTCCTCCTTTTTTTAGGAACTTTGATTACCAGACGTGAAAATGCCATTTTCTCAACGTCCATACTGAATCTCAGTATTATCATTTTGGTAAATCCTTCCCAATCAGATAAGCAAACAATTATT